TCGGGAAATGGAAGGTAATTTCCCCAATCAACATCTGGACGAGGAACCAAACAATCAAGCAAAGGCATTTTATGACTTGCTTCATGCATCTACAATTTCACTTGGTAGTGCTAAAAGAAATGAGACAGTGTTTAGCTGGCTTTCTTATATGTTGCATACAAAGACTGCAAATAATATAACTGCTAATGGTTTTAATGCCATTCTCAAAGGATGTAGTAGGTTGTTAAGTGCTGAAGATCAAGAAAAAGTTCTTTCAAACTTTTATGAAGTAAAAAAATATATGAAGGGGCTTGGGTTAGGTTATCTAAAAATTGATGCCTATGTTAACAACTGCTTTTTATACTATGAGGAGCATACGAAAACATTGACTACATGTCCAATTTGTGGAGAAGCGAGGTATAAACAGAGAAATCCAGGGAGGAATAGACAAAAGGACATTCCGAGGAATTCTCTTTAGTACTTACCAATAATACCTCGCCTTCAGAGGCTATACATGTCTCGAAAAATAGCTAAGCACATGACATGGCATTTGAAATGTTGTGGTGATACGGATAAGGTCATTCATCCAGCACAATCAGAAGCATGGAGACATTTTGATCAAATGCATCCTTCTTTTAAAAGAGAACCTTGTAATGTTTGATTAGGTCTTGCTACTGATGGTTTCAACCCATGGGCTCATTCTTCAACCTCCTACTCTTGTTGGTTAGTTTTTTTAATTGTTTATAATTTGCCACCAGAGATGTGCATGCGACCAGAGTTTACTTTTCTTACATTGGTCATTGCTGGTCCAAAAAGCCCAAGCAAAAATATTGATGTTTTCCTTCAACCTTTAATTGAAGACTTGAAAATGTTATGGTCGACTGGTGTAGAAACATATGATAGTTATCGTAAGTAAAACTTCATAATGCGGGCTATGTTGATGGGGACCATAACTGATTTTTCGGGTTATGGTATGGTGGCTGGTTGGAGCACTCATGGCCAATTGTCATGTCCTCACTGTATGGAGATGACACAATCTTTTTATCTTCAAAATGGTCGGAAACCATGTTTTTTTGATTGTCATCGTCAGTTTTTACCAGAATCACATTCTTTTAGATTTGATCAGAGTAATTTCTTGAAGGGTTGGGTTGAATTAGGCAATCCCCCTCCTCGATTGGATGGTGTTTCAATGCGTCACCGAGTTGAAAACCTTCCTAATGTCTTGTTTGGGAAACCCTTTGAAAACCAAACAATTGAGGGTTTTGGGAACATCCATAATTGGTGAAAAGGTGCATTTTTTGGGAACTTCCTTATTGGCATGATAATCTTATTCGACATAATCTTGATGTAATGCATTGTGAGAAAAATTTCTTTGATAATATAATACACACTGTTATGAATGACAATAAGACAAAAGACAAAAGACAATGGGAAAGCAAGATTGGATTTAGCCATTTATTGTGACCGAAGAAAACTGCACATGGGATATAATACGCATGGTAAGCTTGTGAAACCTAATGCTAGTTATGCACTGACATATGAAAAACAAAAGCTTCTATGTGCATGGCTAAAATAGTTGTGCTTTCCAGATGGGTTTGCTTCCAACATATCAAGATGTGTCAACTTGAATGAGTCTAGGTTATTTGGGATGAAAAGTTATGATTGTCATGTTTTCATGCAACGACTAATTCCAGTTGCTTTTCACGGTTTATTGCCATCTGCTATTTGGGGTCCTTTGACTGACATTAGTAACTTCTTTCATTCACTTTGTTCCCCGATCATTAAAGTTACTGAGATGCAGAAGTGGGAGGCAAAGATTGTTGAAATAATTTGTAAGTTAGAAATAATATTCCCCCCAGCATTCTTTGATTCTATAGAACATCTAGCAATTCATCTTCCATATGAGGCCAGAGTTGGTGGTCCTGTTCAATTTCGTTGGATGTATCCATTTGAAAGGTAAAACATACAAAGAAATAGATTGATAATTTTAAAACTTACTTTTGATTACTTTTTTATAAATTAATCTTATCAATATTTCTTTTCAGGTGCATCCGCAAACTTAAGAGTACCATAGAGAATAAAAATCATGTCGAGGCATCAATTGTTGAGGCATTTATATTATACGAGATATCCCACTTTTGCTCTCGTTATTTTGGGGATGATGTTGAGACAAGCTGGAATCAGCCTCCAAGGAACTATGGTGGCATTGGAACCAACGTCTCAACTAAGTTATCTGTATTTTGTTCCCCTGGTGAATCAATAGGGGCCCACTCACGTACATGATGTTTAACATTGGAGGAGAAAGATGCAGCTGAACTATATGTCTTGCTAAATTGCAAGGAGGTTGATGTTTGGGTAACGTAAGTTTTACTTCTTAGGAAAATAAGAACTACACGATGTTTAATAGCTTATATGATTTTCATAATGTTTTAATTAATAAATAAATGTTATTTTACAGTAAATTTGAGGAAAAAGTTGGTGCAAATTTGCCACATGAACTACTACAAAGATTGCGAACAAATAATTTTGTTCAAT